GTCTCTCTACTCGTCTTTCTATTCTCTACTTCGATTTGAATAATTTATTTAATCAACTGTTTTGCTTTTATGTCCTGTGTTTACATCCCTCAATACCTGAGGCCTGTACGACGAAGCCGGTTCAACCTAACCTGGATATGTTTGAGTTAGCCGGTTGGCCTAATCCAAAACATACGCGCTCTCGCTAAACGGTCCTACGACGCGGGTTATCAAGTGGATCGCTCAAGCCAGCCGTGTCCTATCTAGTTAGGTGCGCGTTCACATAAAAGGGGCGGGGTTAGCAACATTTGACCAATCACAAACATGGAAGCGCACTGACAGCGCAGCGTCATACTTCCTGAATGAAAAGTGAACTATAATATTAGACAAATATGAAGACGTTAAACTTTAAACATCCATGACTTAAACACTTTATCCAGGATAAAAGCCACATAGCTGCACCTGCAAGGTGAATACAGCTGGTAAAAGAAAAAGTGTTTGAATGCGTACATTAACAGGTTTATGATATCACTGCCAAGTCCAAATCCAAGTCCAAATCCACTGCTAAGACACGAGTGGATCTGACTTTAATTACATTTGACTCTAGTGTTTCGTCAACTTAATGTCCAAGGTCCAAGGTTCTTTATTAGTCATACAACCATAGCTACAGAGTAGTTATGTCAATGTCACAGGCTTCTCCAACAGTGCAACACAATATTACAGAAAGACAGAAAAATATAGTGCAAGTAAAGCCCGAGGTCTCAACAGCAACAGCTGTTGCTTAAAATAATACTTCTGCATACAGTATGTGACACTGTGAGTGTTGCACGGCCAGATACGGCTCAAGAAGCTGACTCAGATAAGGAAATATATGATACATTATGATGTGATATGATATGAATGATAATGGGACACATCGACGCCTGCACTCACAGTGTACTGTACGTAATGTTACTTTGATCCAGTTACTTATGTCGTGGCAGATATTTAAGTAAGCTTTCTTAACGCGCTAATGTTATAATAGTCAGATTGCTCTGAAGATGGGAGGGGATATTCTATTAATTTTCACGTTCACACAGTCAGTTGATTTTTGCCGGCCGTTTTTCCTGCAACAGCAGTTTTTCTGTATTTCCTCTATCCTGTAATATGACTTGATAGCTTTAAACTCCACACACTGAGCTCTGATTAGTCAGCAGGCAGTGCTTTCACTAAGTTGATCTCTTAGCCTGCAACCTAACCTGCTCCCGAGCAGGTTAGCCGCTCAGCATAAGTTACCATGGAGATCTAGCCCGCTAAAAAGAGAACCAGCGTCGTAGGACCGGAAACCCCAAGTTTTCCCTGAAGTTAGCCCGCTAAACGAAAATCCGGCTTCGTCGTACAGGCCTCTGATGTCTACTTAAAAGTTACTTTTGAATCTTTTGCTGAAATTCTGCTTTTGCACACAACATTATAACAATTTCTTCACATTCACTGTGATTTAAGGTCTGTTTTTTTAATGATACTCATCAACAGAAAAGAGTGTTTTTTTTTTTTTAGACAACTAAATATTGAATATTATTGATATATCTTCTAAGTCGAAGAAAAACGCTTTTAGCCATTTTATCTCAGTATCCCTCAGAGCCATGGGGGTACATGTTATGATCCTACCACCTAGTGGCATCACAACTGCAATAATCTACACAAAATGGCTTTAAAAGTCTTCTTTTTTCCACTTGTTTTTTCCTGCTCTCCCATCCCATCCCCCTTCTCACCCATTACCCCTCTTTTTATTCTCAGTTGTCCCCCTTTTCTTAAGGATAGAGGGTGTTTTTATAATTATGAAAGGGAGAGTAGCTGTGGCTGCTGGCTGGGTGCAGACTACAGCCTCCATAAACCCCTTACACAATAAACACTGTGACTGCACTCTCACGTGCATGCACGTGCACACACACACACACATACAGTACACACACACACGCACACACTTTGTAGTCACATCTGTTCACATGGAGTAGGGTTTTCATGTACATCTGGACTGGGTCATTCCCTGAGTGTATGTGTGGGTGTGTGTGTCTGTGCGATTGGGTCTTACTCTCATTATTCAGAAACTCTACCCAGTTGTCATAGTCCTCTCTCATGTGTTTTCCCATTCATGTGAATGGTTGATTACAATTGGAATTTATGGATGTGTGGACCTCCAAATGTGGTTTGTGTGAGGTTCTGGAAATCCAGTAGCTGCTTTCGGGCTTGATGTGGCGGGACTTCGACGGATTGTCCTCCTGAACTTTGTCCTGAGAAGAGAACGAAGACTGAAATGGGTCATTTTATGGAGCCACTTCATTATCTTTGCTTTTTAGATTTAGATGAAAAGTAATCTATTGGTGGGTTTATGTTCAACTTGTAATATTGATATACAGATACTTTACCTTTTCATCTAAATTGGCACAGTTTTTAAACAGCATTTTGTAAACTACATTTTTAAATTCATACAGAAAAACAGTTTTTGGTATCTGCAAAGGTTAAGTGTATTATGTGGTACTAAGTGTTCCACTTACAAAAGTCAACAAAGTGAAACTTTAGCACCTAGTGAAACTTTATTTTGAGACGGAAAGAAGTAGAAAGGTTTATTCATCATGGCCCATGCTGCGGCCCATCTGAAGAAAGCTCGCGAGCTTGAGGCAAATCCAGAGTACAGAGCTCTACAGAAAGCCAGGGAGAGGAGAAAACGGCACCGTGAGAGAGCCGAGCGAAGGAAGCAGGTAAAACGCACATAATTCTCTGTCAAAATGATATTGTGTCAAGTTTGTGTTCTCCGAACATTTTAACAACCCGCGTTCTTTTTGGCTTAGTCTATTATAATCTGCATTTGAATTTATATTCTAAAGAGACATACTGATATATTATCTGAAATATAAACCAGCATCTAGAATATTCTGCAATTATAGCCATGAAGGCATGTGTTCATAAAGCCTCATGCACATCTGAACTATGTCTGCATACCTTACATTTTACACATTCCGTAATAGTGAAAAATAATTTGAGTGGTCCGTGTGATCTGATCTTACGACTGTGTTCAGGCTCAACTTCTGTCACTCCATTATGACCCTTAGCATTCCCGGAGAGCATCACAGCCCATGGGGTCTCCAGCCTGACCCAAAACCAGCTGTCATGTTCCCCACCCAGGGTACACAGCAAGGGGTTGTGGTCTGCATTGGAGAGAGGGTCTGGAATCCTAAAAATAGCTAAGGCGGGAGAGACAGTGAGGGTCAAGGTAGAGCTAGAGGAATAGTGGGCAAGATAAGGGCCTTGGATAGACTCAGTCCACACCAAGAAGAGTTTTTACAGGGTTAAGGGATACAAGAGCACAGAGAGGGGAAAGAGTGTTGGTAATAGGGAAGTAATTGAGATTTGGCAGACGTCATGGACCAATTTAATGGATTGTAAAATTGATTGATGTGGTTAAGAAGTGGGCAGGAGAGGCTTTTATCTGAGGACGCAAAGTGAGACACTACAAAGATTGGACCATACAGTGAGCGAAGTGAGTGAAGAAAGGCCACAGTTTTTGGTTATCGCTTGGAAGTTATACACCGATTTGGATTGTTACCATGGGAAACGCAGCAACATGTAAGGCCTGTGGAACAGATAAAGGTTTGAAGACCACTGGGAGTGACAACGATTTAAACCATCACACTGACTACTACGGAAACACTGACTCTGGATCTGAAGTTGATGATTCACTGGTAAGAGGTGGAGAGAGAAATCAGCTTTCAGGCTTTCTGTTACATTGAGGAAGTGTTCAACAAAGCATGTTGTTATTAATCCCTTTGCTGTGGGGAGCGTTTGTAGCTGTGTGAGCTTGGTCATGGTGACATCGCTTGTGAAGAGTTGATCCTCTGCAGGGGTGTGGCCTCATTGCAGGCATCTGATGAAGAGTTCGATTGTGCTGACCTTACGAGTTAACACCCGGTTGTGTTTGATTGACACGCTGCAGTCTTATCCATAGAATCTAAAACCTTGTCAACACTGTTGAATCAATACGGCCAGTATTCCTTTGCAAACGTTTTGTGACAATTGTGTACTAGAACAGTAGATCCATACATTTGATTAATAATTAGCATTGTAAATGTTCATTATTAGTTGATATTGACGTATCCAGAGAAAACCAATCACTAAATATTCCTACTCTCTTGAGTCATACTGTATGTGCTAGTAAACTGATTGTTTGGTTTTGGTTTTGGTTTGTTTTGGTCCAAAAAACTATTTGGGAAAATTAACTCAGACTTTATATTAGATTCGACCTGGACATCTTTAAAATGTGATCTGTATTTTTACCCTATTTTCCTTGTTTACTTATTATCACCATTCATATTTTATTTTGTGTTTTCCTTTATTATTATTTCAAATAATCTATTTGATTACATCTGTGGTTCAAAATGTTATGTGATCTCACTACACTGTTACTATCAACATCTCAGCTCTCATACTAAGGTTAACCTAAAATTCAGTGGGTACATCAACATAAATGCAGCAAAACATTTAAAACAGTGTGTGTGTGGGGTGTGTGTGTGTGTGTGTGGGGGGGTGTGTGTGTGTGTGTGTGTGTGTGTGTGTGTGGGGTGTGTGTGTGGGGGGGGGTGTGTGTGTGTGTGTGTGTGTGTGTGTGTGTGTGTGTGTGTGTGTGTGTGTGTGTGTGTGTGTGTGTGTGTGTGTTGCAGCTGCTTGTGCAGCCTTAGTGTCTGGTGGTTACATTTAGAAAAGCCTACTCAGATACATTTTGATGCAAGCAGGAAGTCCTACTTCCATGCATCCTCTGAATCCATTTATATAAGTATTTTATATTAATTATTACACTCCTTCATGCACAGCCAGAGCAAGATACTTTTATCTTTATAAATTGACTTGAAGGGTATGTAAAAAGAAACACAAAACCAAACTGTGAAAATAACCCTTAATGTTAGTTCATTAGTTTTATACCTCATGCAAAAGAAGCTTGTAATTCTGTTCGATTATTATGTATTAAATTGCTGTTTTCATCCCTCCAGTCCGACAGTAACACGAGTTTCCTGAGGGCTGCCAGAGCGGGGAACATTGACAAAGTCCTGGACTTCCTGAAAAACGGAGTAGACATTAGCACCTGTAACCAGGTAAGAAAACCTGAATGCCTTTTCTCTCTCTGAAACCACTTACACTGTTTGATGTTGAATTTGCGATGAGCTACAAAATGCATGGACTTTGTAGGGTCACAAAGTCATGGGGTGTTTCTCAATGTCGAGGAGGCTTGCTTGGTAGCACATGTACCTCCGAGTGAGTTCCTTAAGAAGCGGGGCAAGAATACCTCCTAGCCTCGGAAAACGAAGAATGGAACAGGCTAGCAAGTGTGCAGGTGTGCGTCATATGAGAGGCCCCGCCTTACATTTTCCGCCACAGATTTGGGAAATTGGTCCGTGCGCAAAGCAGTGTGGACATTTTAAGACCACGGAGTCTACACATGTGCAGCCTCGAAATTTCCCGCAACGAAGTACGCCGGCTTCTGTAGAATTCCAAGTATCCTGGACATTGGAACAGTCCTTCGGCGGCACTCGATGACGTAGTATCCTTGAAATAGTGGCTCTGGAGCAGCTTTCCTCGACATTGAGAAACACCCATGGAGGGATTAAGTCTTGAGCCTTTAGACTTAAGGACAAACAGTTTTAGTTACATTTATTTTTTGATAATTGTATTGACCTATCGTTTCCGCCAAATGGACAAATAACAATTTTAACATTTTTTCTTTTACATTATTGACTGTGTTCTAAATAATAAATATAGCTACATTTGGCACATCAAACATGTATTCTGTTTAATGGTCTATTGAGCACAGTAACACACAGCAAATGCTGCCGTCACAGATGTAGGTCAAAGCTGTTGGTCTAACCTCTCCTCTGCTGTGTCACGTGCATCACACAACAGAGCTGGGTCAGTGCATTCTTTAAACTGCTAGGCTGCCCTCACAAGATCTTAACCCCCCTCACAGCCACTACTACTCCCGTCCACTACACTCATTCTGTCCTGGAGTCTCCGCTGTATTTGAAGGGCCTACTCTGACAGCTGCTCCCACCCACCCTCACCCACATTCCACTGAGCAGGAGGGATTTAAAAGGGTGCAAAATACTTCCCCCTAGAACCCTCTACACCCCACCTGCCCTGTCCATGTCAATGTGATTTACAGAAGTCACAAGGTAGCTTAAAGCAGCACGTGGAGTGTGCTTTCAGTACGTGAGTCTGTGTGTTTGTGTGCCTGTGTGCCTGTGTGCCTGTGTGCCTTTGTTTTTTTGATAGCAATTATTTATACACTGGTCTGTAATTGATTGGCAGACAGGAAGTATTATCCTCCCACTCATAGCTCTAATTGTTGTCATGGGCACCATGGGTTTTGTTTAGTGTACAAAAACAAAACAAAACACAGCCCTATTCAGTGCTGTGATTTGACACCCTCTCTCTCTCTCTCAAAAACACACACACACACACACACACACACACACACACACCACACACACACACACACACACACACACACACACACACACACACACACACACACACACACACACACACACACACACACCACACACACACACACACACACACACAGAGGACCCTCCCTGCAACAGGAGAGCCCTGCCCTTCATAGTATCTGTCAGGGGTCAGATGATCACATTTGAGCCCGTATAGAGTGCCCAAAATACAAGTGACATTTTCCTAAATGTCCTTCTGTTTCTGATAAACAACATCCACAAGCTTTATTGACCTTCAATTCAAGGCTTGGGCCTACACATATTCCTGAACAAATATTTCTTGTTAGTGTAATCCAATAAGTCAATTGGCCAATTTCATGAATGTAAATAAACTGTTTCTGACATGCTTAAATGCATACATAAGCTTAAAGACATACACACAACACATTCTTACAAGTCGAGTGCTTGAACCCCTCCTCCAGCATGTTGTTCAGCAGTTTGTCTGACTGTGACAGACAGTGAAACTGGATCTGATTACCTGTTGACTTATACACTGTCAAACAACTGTTTTAATGTTATCATGGTCACTTGTTTATTCATCTGCTGTCAAGCCTTGATTTGAAACAGTTTATGTTTATGTTACTCCCTGGTGAATCTGTATGACTGTACTTGTTTCTGAAACGATTCATATTAATAACCATATTAATATGTTGTGTTGATGGCAGCTAAGGGGTTGGTTTCTCCACACCGTGTTATGAGCATCCTGAAAGTGGTGATGACATTTTCCCCAGATTTGATGGCATTTTAACCTTAATGATAACTCAAGGAGAAACCAATTTCCAACCCAACCTTAGTAATGGGAGGCTAGATGGTGATTCAAAAGTATCATATTAACAGCGATAAGCGGCAGAATTGCTCTCAAGCAAATTAGTGGATCCGAATCATGTGGAAAAGCACTCTAAACAATTACTGAACCATTATCTATAAGAGTACTGTCAGCATAAAGTTGGGGCTGAGAGCAACAACATAAATTATATAAATCTTAAATGTAACAATCAATTAATCTGCTATGACTTTAAACAATGGAACCTTATATGTTTGTATCAAAGTTGTACATAGAATAGATCAATAGTAATATCATGTGTGGACTCAAAGACAGTGGGAGACGCTGGAAAGTCATGCAAGATCCCTGTGTTGCCCTTGGCGGTGTGTGCATTGCTCACTTATGCGTCAGATCCTAGAAAGCAGCGACAGGGTGGCCAGGGCCAAAGTCGCCCGCCAAGAGAAGAGAGCTGTCCAAGTTAGGGACACATAGAGAGAGAGACCAATAGATACTTCCCCTATCTGCCAAGTCCAATGATAAATAAAAAACATTCTTGACTGATAAATCGAACTCACTGTTTCAAGCCAGTGAAAGGTATTGCATACTCAAGCATGTTTTTTATATAATATCTTTTTGTAGATGATCTGCGTGTGTGAGAGTTTTTGTCCCATACAACTGTGTCATTTGTGTGTGTGTGTGTGTGTGAGCTGTTTGATTTCCATGTCCTCACAATTAAAGGCTGGACTTCTTCTCTAATCTACCCTAATGTTAATCCTTGGTGAGTGATATTACTCTTTAATCTGCACGCATTTACATTATTTCCTCTTTTTTCTCTACCATTCATCCCCATTGGCCTATGAAACAACACCAAATAAACGTGACCATTTTTTTTTTACCATGAGTGATTATAAAAAAGGTCAAGGGTCATGGGGCGTAAATTTGAATCTGCGTTGGACGGAGCTCAACCGTTTCACTCCTGCCAGAAAGCACTACAAAATGCCAGGGATCACTGTGTTGGTCTGAACGTCCATTAGCTAAATGAAGCTTTCACTTACAGCTCAGAGGAAAAGCAGATTTAGAGCAGAGTGTGTGTGTGTGTGTGTGTCTGTTGTGGGTTTTACTTGTCTCTCTGTTGGAATACATAATGGGGAAATGTGATTGAAACCCTATAATAAGATTACATCATTCTTGCTGTGTCAGGGAGTCCTCCATTTCAGAACTGAGCCGAACCTCAACTCTCTGCAAGCGTTACTGCAGCACAGAGCGTCTAGTCTCACATTTTAAGTTGTTTGATCTCTCGCCTGTTGGCACCACAGTGAAAATAGACTGAGGGACTGTATGATGTTATTTATGATCTACTAAAGTAATGACATTAGAGGCATCCACATTGCAATCTCATAAACCTCATTACAAACTCTCAGAGGGAATATGACAAGCGTCTGCAGCTCAGCATGACCACACCCAACACCGGATGATAGGTGGGGGAGGGGATGGTGATGGTGGTGATGATGGTGGTGATGGTGATGGTGAGGATGAGGATGATGGTGATGGTGATGGTGAGGATGATGATGATGATGGTGGTGATGGTGATGGTGAGGAGGATGAGGATGATGATGATGATGATTTCAAAACATTTACTTATTGTTTTACTAATTTTTACTGAAAAATCTCAATGATTTACTGGTAAAATATTTTTTTACATGAAGATTTTTGACTTTTTTTTTTCTATTTCATCTTCTAATTTGAATATTTGCTGCTTCTCTCTGTTATATATAATCATAAATGAAAAATAGTTGGGTTTTGGAGAGTTGAGATAATGAGCTAATAAAGCAATAAAAGCTATATTTTCTTTTCCTAAATAATTAATTGAATAAACACATCAATACCTTTTTAGGTATTTTATTGTTGTACAGGATGGTTCTCATAGTTACCATATAAAGCCATACCATATATATATATTATGAACTTGACCAGACATTTACTTAGATACTTTGACCTCTGGGGAATGCCCTCTTTTTTTCCTTTATGAAAGGTTGACATTTTCAGCAGTTTCTCAATATGAGTATCCATGTTTGTGTGTGTGTTGTGTCAAAATATATCCTCTGTGACTATGCAGAAACCTGACACCCCTTTGGCTGTTTGGCATTTGGCAACTCAGAGAGAGATAGAGTGTGACTGAGTGTATAAGTGTGTGCATCATTTGGGTGTGTGCATGTGTTGTACGTGCGCAAGAGGAGGAAGGAGGCAATGATAGTGGTGGAAACAACATAACAGCTCGTCTTTTACATCAGTGCCAGGAAGAGCTTTCAGAGCCAGGAGCCATTTCTCTGTTACCCATCTTGCAATCTACTGGTAGAGCCTGCCGCGGAGAAGAAGGCAGAACGAGCCAGAAGCTTGGATTCAAACAAGGAGGGAAGAGGACCGCTGTTGATGGTCAACCTCCAGCTTCAAGCCCCATTAAACAGGCAAAAACATAGAAAACACTGAAGAAAGACTTACGAAGGGAACAGAAAGAAAAAAGACAGAAAGAGATTGACGTTTTCTCGAAAAAAGGAAACAGGATGAAAACGAAGTCCCAATTTTAGATCCTCTTTTAATTTCGGAGATACACAGCGCAGAATGGAAGAAGATGAGGATGAGGTGAATCGTTCTTCTGAGTGTTTTTACATGTCTTTCTCAGAGAAAATATGTTTAAGCCTGTGTGTTGTGTGAATTGATATGTTTTGGAGCTGTGATTGTGTGTCAGTGTGAAAATGGTTTACTCTATTCTCCTGCTCTGCTGCTCCTACCCTGTAGCTCTGGTTAAAGGATCAGAGGCCTTCAATGTGATGCTCACCTCGAAGCTACATGAGGGAAGGATCAGCCATGTTTTTTAAGTGATCAAGAAAAGAAATAATTAAACAAGAAATACAATTATCAAGCACAAGACTTCAGAAACTTCACATTATACTGTAGGCTTCACAAAGTATGCAGATTTGTAGTGCAATTCCATGAGCACCCCTCAGTTATTCACTATCATTCATTGACATGTGTTTTCAAGAAGTCTTATGTTGATTATTTGTTTCCCCTAGAATGGTCTCAACGCACTACATCTGGCGGCAAAGGAAGGACACAAGGACTTAGTTGAGGAACTGTTGGAGAGAGGAGCACCTGTTGACTCTCCCACCAAGGTACGTGCACAAAATATGACTGTTAGTTGATAGTTGTTGTATTCTACCAGCTTCCTAGATACAAACATATCACAGTTTGACCTCTAACATGGGGGACGAAGTGTAAACAAGTAAGGGGGGGGGTGGGTGAAAGTGATAGCTGACAGAAAGAGGGAGTTGATGGATAGGACATGTAAGTAATATATAGTGGTATCAGTTGTAAAGTACTAAGTCAATTACTGCTTCTCTCTTGAATTATGGAATCGAAATGGCAACAGTGGTGTTGGACCTGATTTAGGAGGAAGAAAGTCATGTGAAGAGAGTTCATTTGTAATTTTATATATTCCCAATAACGTGTACTCCATCTAGTCTGACATGAATTTCATTTCTGGATTATTTCTTTAGATGTATTTCTCTTTAATTTCACACTTAACACACACTGCTTATTAATAACAACAAACATAACACATTATAGAGCGTTTCATAGTGACTATAAAACAAGGACAATTATCATCAACTTTATAATTGCTGGTCACTCATTTGTTAATATTTTTGCTGGGAGGATAGTGTGTTATAATATCCATAATTTTAAAAATAATGCCATATAATAATTGCAATCATGTACTGCACAGCAAAACCATAGTATGCACTATTATATGGGTGTGCAAATGATGCTATGATTATTCAGTTATGAATTATTATGTTTTACCATATAAGTCCATATAAAATGCTTTGTAACGTGTTGTGATTCTTGTTATAAAGCATTATGAAGATGAATGTGTGCTTATAAATACAATAATACAGTATTATAGGCGGATTATAATGCATAAAGTTATTTTGCATTTATATTGTAATGCATTATAGACATGGGAATCATAGAAAGTGTTACCCAGCTTTCAAATCAGATTTATTAACTCTTAATATCTGCAAGAAGTTGTATTATTAAATATTCTACATTTACTGGAAGGAGGCACAGGGATAAGAGTGATGGTAAACTTCTTGGCAAGCTCTTCCTCATGTGACTCTTAGGAGGTCTAATGTGTCAGTGATTTCACAGCTAGCAACAGCAAACAGCCGCCAAAGAATCTGTCCTTGGATCGACATTAATTTAGCCTTTGATAATAATAACAGACGTAAGATGAAGTCATTGGCATATTTAGAATGGGAATAATTGTTTTTTTAAAGAGGGGATATTAACAGAGGTTTCTGTGACCATCACACATTTATACTACACCACTTTAAAGTAGCTGTAGTAAAGTGTTTATCCCCACACAGGATGCACACTTGGCTGGTTGCTGTTACCCTTTTTTTCTCTGCAGAAAGGAAACACTGCCCTCCATATTGCCGCATTAGCTGGACAAGAAGAAGTAGTCAGACTACTGGTGAAGAGAGGAGGAGATGTCAACACTCAGTCACAGGTGAGATGCTTCATAATGATCAAAAGGGAAAACAACAGCATGAATATGATCTTACGCTACTACATGTATGTGCATATGAACTGTATACATTTGTCTCTACAGAATGGCTTCACTCCACTCTACATGGCAGCCCAGGAGAATCACTTGGATGTGGTGCGATACATGTTGGAAAATGAAGGAAACCAAAGCATTGCAACTGAGGTAAATGAATGCCCCTATTTCCCTTTTTTCTTTTATTCAAATGTGTTGTATTCACCTATCTTGATTATGCTTGTCTTTCTCCTCCAGGATGGTTTCACTCCTCTGGCCATCGCGCTCCAGCAGGGCCACGACTCTGTGGTCTCCCTGCTGTTGGAGCATGACACCAAGGGCAAGGTCCGCCTCCCTGCCCTGCATATAGCAGCCCGCAAAGACGACACCAAGTCTGCCGCACTGCTGCTGCAGAACGACCACAACGCTGACGTCCAGTCCAAGGTGAGGAAAAGCGACGAGGAAGAATCTAATTGAGGAAGAAGGAGGGTCTATGTGAAATGTCAAATTGGAGTGAAGAGAGAGATTAGGAAGAGTTAGAACAGAAAGCCCTCTCGGATTACAAAATGGGAGAGGGAAGGAGGAAAAGAAGGAAGCAGGACTAAGTGTGTAATAATTCATCTGACTTTTCATCTGCACTCATTTGCCTGCAATTGATTTGATTTTTTTGATTTGATTAGATTTATTTCGAATGTGTAAAACAATAATACAAAAATGTAACATGAAAGTTATTATACAATACAAAATTAAGCATTGTCAAATTGATATACAAAAATATTACTGATTCTAAATTATATGTATAAACAAATTATCTACTTAATTACACATCCGAAAAGGGGTGGGAAGAATTTGACACTTATTAAATCCCACCCCTTCTCCCCAAAACTAAATTATTAACATATATATATTTTTCTTTTAAAGAAATACATTTGTTATTGAAAAACAAACAAACAAAACAAAAACAGAAAATAAATAAACAGATAAATAAACCAACAAATAAAGAAACAAATACATAATTCAATTCAAGACTTTGATAGTATTAATGTACAGAGCTTCTCTCAGAATGGTTTGTTGGTACACAAATGTGCTTTTGGTTTTCTATGTGTGTGTCCCTTTGAATGTACCCTGTGAATTTTGTGACAAGTCCCTTTCCTAACAACCCTACATCCTATTCCTATCCTTTCTCAATGCTTCCTAACCAGATGATGGTCAATAGAACCACAGAGGTATACAGACTCCTCTAATTCCTTTCAGCTTTTTTGTCCTGATATTTTCCTCATACAACTAGGCCCTATGCACCGATAATCTGAATGCATGCAGCTGTACACATTCCCTCATGGCTGAAGCTAAAAGCATTGTGTTGTATTAATAGATTCCAGAGAATATTAGTTTATTCTATTTTAATTAACACTTTTTAATTGTACTTAATGAATCATTCTTAAAAATGTATTAGCTCTTAATATTTTGAAACACTAAAAGTATTTAAAGGTCCCCTATTATACTGTTTTATATATTATAGGTCTCAGATATATACAAAACATGTCTCTGAAGTGTTTGGCTTGAAATACCAAACAGATCATTGTAGCATCCCATAATCCCCTCTGTTTCAGCCCTGTTTCAAAAGTGCTGATTCTCTGTCTGTTACTTTACATGAAAATAAGGAGCCACTCCCCACGCCCCTCTGAGAGATATTTGGACTAATAAAAACACAATGGTGCTCTAGGAGGAGATTCAGGTGATCAGGTGGGCGGGTGTTACCTTGGTTGGTTATTGGCTAATGGTTACACAAGCCAAAAAATGGATCAGGACAAAAAGAGAGAATCTTTTTTCCTGAAACTTTCAGAATCTCTTTACACAGAGGGGACACATGTTAATGTATAAAAGACAGGAAAAAGTGGATTTTACATAATAGGTGACCTTTAAATCATGTATCCCTTTTATTTAGTGCTTTATCTCTGCATAACATTCAGCATGTGTACTTTAAAGCACGTTGTTAGCATTGTTTTTCCTGTCTGACACACGTTATTGATCTTTAAGTTAACTCTGTTTTTTAAATTGCATCATGTCTATCAGAATGGGAAGGTAAGGAGTGAACACACCTGCAACTGTGCACTGTAGATATTTATATATATGGCTTATATATAAATGTCCATTTGTCCGTGCAAGCAGATACACATAGCGCATAGTTGCATGGTGTATTGAAGTTTTGATTTGTAATGTCTTAATGTTGGTACCTTGGTTTTCAAAAATCGAAGTGCTTTGATTTCTTCACCATTTGATTTTTTCAGCAGGCATGGTTGACTTACAGGGTTTCTGCATGCATTATGTATTGCCTGTGCTATTTTGAGGCATGCCAGTTTTTTATACTTCTTCTTACATCAATGTGTCTAGTTCTTTTTTTCAGCATGCGGCCTTTGTGTAATACTGCTCAGTCAGATTTATTTGCTGAAAAATCTGGTGATTCTTGCTTTCTGATTTGTCTGGCTTTCTTTATATCACTTTCTTTCTTTTATTATTTCTTTCGTGACCTGATTTATTCTTTCTTACTTTTCTCTCATATCCAACTTTGCTTTTCTTTTGCTACTTTTTTCCATTTTTCTCAACCGCTGTTTCTTTTCCCTCTCACTCTCTCCTCCTTTCCTCTCTCTTTGTCCGTCTCAAGCAGAGCGGGTTTACCCCTCTGCACATCGCGGCTCACTATGGTAACGTGAATGTCTCCACCCTGTTGCTGAACAGAGGAGCTGCTGTGGACTTCACAGCCAGGGTATAGCCTCATTTACACTTAATAAACCATACCAAGATATTTTCTTTTATTGACGCTTGTCTTTTTACTTTGAGGCTTGCAGAGCAGAATGTTTACAGTTTAACATAAAGCATATAACGTTCCCTTTTAGTCTTTATTGCCTTTTTTAACTGCATTTTCTCTGAGCCTGTCAAAGATTGTATTTGTTTTGCATGTTGTCAGCTGCATTGATTTCTTGAAATTGGTCCATGAAGTTAGTTCAAGTTTCTTTGGATGCACTTGGTTAATAAGTAATGTAACTGTCTATTACTATCCTCAACTCAGAAACAGACAGACTAAAACCATACCAACTATTATTAAATAGATTGTAGGACTTTCCATATGGTGTGGAATTTGAATGGGCTTTAAATGATACTTTACCGTGTGAATTGAATATTTATTCGGCTAAAGTTAAAGTTAACTTTTGTGCCTGCCTTGTCAGAATGGAATAACACCTCTCCATGTGGCCTCCAAGAGGGGCAACACCAACATGGTGGCCCTGCTGTTGGACCGTGGGAGTCAGATAGATGCCAAAACCAGGGTGAGACTGGACACCAGCTTTCATTAAATGTTCTAATTTCTGCACCCACTTCCTAGTCAATTTCCTCTCTCTGTCAAAACACACAAACTGGATTAATGTCTACACTTGTTTATATTTATGTGTTTGTGCCTCGCATGTGTGATTTTCTCACAGGATGGGCTGACCCCTCTGCACTGTGCAGCCAGGAGTGGACATGACCCAGCAGTGGAAATTCTGCTGGAGAGAGGAGCTCCCATCTTAGCCAGAACCAAGGTACTTTATGGCCGCACAATTGATCGATCAGCATGCCCCAGAATTTGAAAGTGTAATTTTTCTATGATCAAAATAACAAAGGATTTTCATTTAATTTAGTGCACATGCTTTCTGCTTGTTTTACTTCTCATCTCTTTCTTCAAGTGTACTAGCTTTTCAATCTACTACCTTTGTGCTTACACAGAACGGACTGTCCCCACTACACATGTCAGCCCAGGGAGACCACGTAGAGTGTGTAAAATTCCTGTTGCAGCACAAGGCGCCTGTTGATGATGTCACACTGGACTACCTTACAGCGCTGCATGTTGCAGCTCACTGCGGCCACTACAGAGTCACCAAACTTCTGCTGGACAAGAAAGCAAATCCCAATATTCGAGCACTGGTAGGGATAAACAGGAAATAACAATTGTACATTATTACAAAAATAGGGAAAAGATATCATACAGTTTTACTGTAAAATTCTGTGGTCATTTACCAATATACAATTATTACTACGTTATAACTAAGTATTTAAATGGCCCTGAGGAGTACCAAATTACATGCAAGAATCAAATAACTGGCAAAAATGTAATGAAACTACTTTTCCAACTCCATATGTATGTAAACATAGTATTTATCGGTTTATTTCTCTTTTGCCCTCTCTATCAGAATGGTTTCACTCCTCTCCACATTGCCTGTAAGAAGAACAGAGTGAAGGTGATGGAACTGTTGGTCAAATATGGAGCCTCCATTCAGGCCATTACTGAGGTGAGATACTTTTTAGGAATATCTCAAAATAGAAACTTTAAATGCACACTTTTCTGTATGCTCATCTTCCTGTCTGTCTCTCTCTTTCTCTAGTCTGGTCTGACTCCCATCCATGTAGCTGCTTTCATGGGCCACCTCAATATTGTTTTACTACTGCTTCAGAATGGCGCATCTCCTGACGTCCGTAACATTGTGAGTTCTGAAAAATACTTTCTTTAACTGTCTGTAATCAGTAGTCAAACATAGATATAGCATAATATAAATCGTTTTTTCAGTATTTTTTCAACTACAAGATGTTCTAATGCAACAACCTATTAAGTTGGGGTTTCATTCAGCAAAGCATCTCCTACAGTAAACATTCTGTCTGTGCAAATCAGCGTGGCGAGACAGCTCTCCACATGGCAGCACGAGCAGGTCAGATGGAAGTGGTTCGCTGTCTGCTGAGGAATGGAGCGTTGGTGGATGCCATAGCCAGGGTGAGTCAGCTGTGGTATCATCACAGTTAATCCCTGTTTCTATCCATCTATCATGAATAAGCAATATTTCTTCCACTGAGTTGCATACAGTACATCTACTCATGGGTCATGTCGCCTGCCTCAACTCTGGATGCTGTGTGTCTATCTTTTTCTAAAACAATTGCCTCTGCCTGTCTCTATGCCTTTGTATCCATCATATACAGGAGAACCAGACTCCCCTCCACATATCGTCCCGTTTGGGGAAAACTGACATTGTCCAGCTTCTGCTGCAGCACATGGCTCATCCAGATGCTGCCACCACCAACGGCTACACTCCCCTCCATATTTCAGCCAGGGAGGGTCAAGAGGAGACGGCTGCCGTGCTTCTGGAGGCCGGAGCCTCACACTCACTGGGCACAAAGGTGAGCAGGGGATCGAACCTGATGCGCTGAGACAGCAAAATATCTGAATCAAGATTCTTACATATCAAGTTTGACATCAACAGTTTGGACATGCAGGTTTAAAACTAAGTTTCCCTTGTCCCTCAACAGAAAGGATTCACTCCGTTACATGTAGCAGCTAAGTATGGGAGCCTCGATGTAGCAAAACTTCTCCTTCAACGCAAAGCTCTCCCTGATGACGCTGGCAAGGTGAACCAAAAATCACATTGTCCACATTTTCTGAATAGAACAATTAATATTCAAATGCACAGAAATCGTCTAAGAGGGCAAAGTTATTCATTTCGTAGAGACACTCACAGCACAATTTATGTTTTTGAATAAGAATCATTGAGACAATGAGTAGGGACATGAAAAATTACTTAACTTACTTAATTAATTTTCTTACAGAATGGCCTGACTCCTCTACATGTGTCAGCTCATTATGACAACCAAGAAGTAGCTCTGCTGCTGCTGGAGAAAGGAGCATCACCTCACACAACTGCAAAGGTTAGACAAAAGATTTGAAAGAAGAAGTGCTTCGGACAAATATATATAGGTTGATTTTTAGCCATATGGAGTTGTGTTGTATTCCATGTAACTGTTCACCTTCCTCTCTTTCCAGAATGGCTACACTCCTCTCCATATCGCAGCCAAAAAGAACCAGACAAAAATTGCGTTAGCACTGCTGCAGTATGAAGCAGAGACCAACGTTCTGACCAAGCAGGGAGTCAGCCCGCTACACCTGGCAGCCCAGGAAGGACATGCTGAGATGGCCAGCCTGCTGCTGGGCAAAGGAGCTCACGTCAACACAGGCAACAAGGTCACAAACAAACAAAGACACACTTTCATACTTCTGCTTGACCCTTGTTTAGATTTTGATTAGACACTACTATCTATCATGAAGGGTAGCACCATTTAGTTCTCAAATATTCACAGGACATAAGCATATCATTCAATGTCTTTAATGTTGCAACCATTCTTAGGGATTAAGTTACAGGTTTTTCTGTTGTGTTACACTAAGTCAGGGGTCTCCAACACATCGATCGCGAGCTACCGGTAGCTCACAAGCCCTCAATAAGTAGCTCGCCAAGCAGATCCAAAATGTAAAAAATACACACAAAAAATCTTCCCGGGGGAGCAGGCCCCCGGACCCCCCTAGAGGATGTGAGGTCCACCCCCAAATAAAGCAGGTTAAAATAATTAAATTGCATACATTTTCTTTTAGTAAACAATGAAAACGGGCCCCACAGACCCAAACAGCACACAAAGGATAAAGGCAAGCATATTATAATGTTAAATTGTGCTAAATATATACACTGCAAAAAAAGAGTAGTAGCCCACGACTTGTTTTATTTTTTGAAAGTAGCTCTCATCCTAGAAAAAGGTTGGAGACCCCTGCACTAAGGCAACACTGTGTCTTGTATGTTACAGACCGGACTGACGTCTCTGCATCTCGCTGCCCAAGAAGACCGAGTCAGTGCAGCAGAAGTACTCGCCAAACACGATGCCAACTTGGATCAGCAAACTAAGGTACAAACACACACTCATAACTGTACACAGAAACACACTCAAAGGTATGAACAGAACAAATAAAGAGTAGTTATGTAATGTAGTAACGTTGTTCTTAAGGGACTATTAAGTTGCTTATTTAAAGTGCATTCACCACTGGAGGTTGTGTTTTAAATGTGAATAGCCTCACTACCAGTAAATCAAAATAAAGTAGCACATATAAAAATGTAGCATATCTGCCACCTACTGGCTTTAGGGAAGCATGGCAATCATTAAGCATACGTTCATCTACATCATTCAGGGTGTTTTATATATATAAATACTATCTCTCTATTTTTTCTTTAGCTTGGATATACCCCTCTGATAGTTGCTTGTCACTATGGAAATGCCAAGATGGTGAACTTCCTGTTACAGCAAGGGGCCAGTGTCAACGCCAAAACCAAGGTACAATAACAAACTTGAAACAAATTTGGAAAGAATAAGCACAAAGCAAAAGTCTTCTTATTTAGTATTTACAGTGCTTCTTCTTTTTATAGAATGGATATACACCCCTTCACCAGGCAGCACAACAAGGGAATACACACATTATCAACATGTTGCTACAACATGGCGCCAAGCCCAATGCTACCACAGCGGTAAGAAAAAAAAGATTGAATCTCTTTTCATCAATAAGATACATTTGTCTAAATAAAAAAAAGGTATCACTTATTTATTTCAGATTAACACTATCTGTTTCTTTCTGTTAGAATGGAAACACTGCTCTGACGATTGCCAGACGTCTGGGCTACATCTCTGTAGTGGACACACTTAAAGTCGTCACTGAGGAGGTCATCACTACCACAACGGTAAGATCGTACTACCTTTTTTGCGACTACAGGTCTGGAACCAGTACTTTTTTTCATAAATATTAAAGAAAACTCAGCTAACCTTCCTCTGTATTTTTGTTGCCTTGTTGTTCCGACTGTGAATTGGGATCGTTCAGACGGTCACAGAGAAACACAAGCTCAATGTTCCTGAGACCATGACGGAAATCCTTGATGTGTCTGATGAAGAAGGTGTGTTACTTAAACAGAGAAAGAATACAAATTAAAAAGTTCAAGCTCTCTTTCCCTTTGTTCAGTAGTTATAACGAGCTTTGCATTGTATCTGAGATGTCTGTGTATCTGGAAGCTATTACTAAATGTTTGCCCTGCTCCTCCAGCTTGGTGTGGACTTTATCTGTGTTTTTTTAATTTGTATATCTAATTTGTGTTATCCTATTGGTAGACATACATTTACTATTTAATTAAATTAATATATTTTGATGAATTTGTCTCCAAATCCATTTTCCTCCTGTAGATGGTATGTACACTTTATGGCTGAGTTATGTCCCAGTTTATTTAACTGATTTTACATGAGAAGAACTTTCTTGATCTAACACCTTTTTGTTTACTAGGTGTATTCATAACTTTGTTGATTGGGTTTAAGGTTTTGATGCAATGGTGGAAACTAACTGCATGAAATGTGAGGGGCTGGATACGATCACAACAGTGATGCTGGCTATGTAGAATTGACCAATGCACTGGTTTAGTAATGATATACAATAATATTATCACAAAGCTGTCAAGTCTTCAAAACCAGTGACAAAAGCAATTCGCCAGCATTGCTCAGGTGCAAATAGTGTTGGTGTATTTGGTGTTCTAAAAAGGGATACATGTAAATATAAGCAAGGATAAATGATCTCATGTTAAAAAAATGAACCTAGTATGTTGCAACGTGATTATCAAATGTAATCTTTAATTCAAATTGCAAATATTTTACCAGGTGAGGACACTATGACAGGTGATGGAGGAGAGTATCTGAGACCGGAGGATCTCAGAGAGCTGGGTGATGACTCTCTGCCCGGACACTACCTGGACAGCTTCAGCTACATGAGCCACAACCTGGACAGGTACCTAACAACACATACATTACATTGCTTTTAGCTGACATACACACTCACACCTAAAACCGCTACTCAAAACGTAATAGATGCAGGGGATGACACATCACTCCTGCTGTCATCCACTGCTTTTGACCAGCCTGCCATGATGTGCATGTAAATATATAAACAGAGAAAAAAGAATAATCAAAAAATCCAACCTGCTTTTCCAACAGGCCGCAGCTTACTCCCATTCACCAGAGTTTCCATCAGAGAGAGGGAGTTCTCATCGAAGACATGCTGACAAGCCACCAGGTAAGGACAAAGCATACATAAAGCGTATGATGACATTGTGTTGGTTCATATTTCTAAGATAGTGTTCCTTAAGGTATCCTTAGTTTAGAGTTTTTTTTAAATACTTTGTTTTAAGTGACTCCAAATGGCCTACTTGTCTGTCTGCAGGTGTCAGCCCTGTCCAGAGAGCAGGATAAGGACTCGTTCCGTCTGAGCTGGGGTGCTGAGCACCTTGATAATGTGGTGCTGTCCTCCAGTCTGCTACACTCTGGGTATGAACACACACACACCAACATTCAAACTCTTTCCTGGTGTAACAGTAAAACCAAATATGTTCATTTATTTCACATACATGCTTTCGTTCACTATCAGGAGTGTATGAATCACCTCTGAATCCATTTAAATTTTCCTTACATTATTTATAGTCCTTCACATCTGTGTTTTCTACTCTATTTTGATTATTTTGTCTTTGCTGCTCTGTCCGTCTCTTGTCAGGATTTTCCTCACTTTTCCTATTCTTTATTCTCTTTTTTTCTTTTTGTGTATCGTTTTGTTCCCTCTTTGTGCACTTTCTTGTCTTGGCGGTGTTTGTGATTGTATGTGTGTTGTTGTATTCTGCCTATAGCCGTTCTTCTCCGTGCCTAGACCATGACAACAGCAGGTGATACTTTTTATTCTTTAATTTGGCTACTCCTCCCTGGCCCTCATTTTTTTCATTCTCCTTTTAAGGATAGTCTAATTCCCATCCTATTTGTGTGCATGATTTTACAATGCATGACTTTGCATTTGCAGGGTTCAGCTTTTATTTTTCAATCAATCAATCAAAATATTGTTTTAATCCCACAAGGCAATTCGGTAATCTAGGTGATGTTCCAACCAAGTTTATTAGCCTTGATGCAGATTGGACTTCTTTAATCTTGATCATCTGCAAAAATAAATTTTCCTAATATGCTATTTATTGTCCTGCCTAATATAGCAGCGTTTTATGTTGAGACTTGTTAAGGAATAATTCTTCTAGATATCTAACCTTTTGCTCTGTGACGTGTTATCTCCTTTAAGGAAAGGCCTTGGTGCCATATGTGTTGTTGTCACCAGTCTGTGACCGGTCAACTTGACTGGCACGAAGGGTAATTGTTGTGGGAACACTGAGGCACTTCTTTATCGGTGTTTGTGGGCTCTAGGATGTGAAATCCTTGAGGCCATGAGCGTCGGACGCAGGTGATTCAGTGTTTAGTCTACTCCTTCAGAGATGTTGATTCTCTGTGAACCTGTTAAAAGGTCTAGCATAGAGAGAGGTTCTTCAGAATTGACGTGGCAACTCTACCGTGTAGTCAGAACCTCTGACTCTTTGATTTGTGATGTGAATCCTCCGGCCGAATACTCTGAATAAACCCATCAGTGTTTGACATCAAAGCTCCAACTCTCACCGTGTCTCCTTCCTGAGTCGGTGACTCCATGCATTGCTACACAGAAGTTTCCTCCACAAGACTAATATTGCAAAGTGGGGTGTTTATGACAGCTGAATATAATTTGATATGAATAAATATTAATAATATAAATAATAAGGCTGATATTACTGTATTCTTATTGTCAACAAATCCAATGAAAGGTTTTAAGTCAGTAATGTCTTCCGACGCCCTACCCTCCCTGTGGTCCAAAACTCCAAGCCCATTTCTTCCTACTCAATGCTACTCAAACAGAAGAAATATACCGGTCTTGCAGTTTGACTATAAACTTTAATGTGTGTTAACATGTTCAATACGGAAACCTTGAGTAATACTCTAAACTCTTGCTTGCCTGAAGATATCTATTATTTGCACCTTGACAAATAAGATCCAAAAAGAATCTTATTCAATGCCCTCCTCTTTTTTCGCCTGGCTTGTAAATTCCTTTTAGAATGGAATAAAACTGCAAAGAGAACAAGCAAAATGAAATATGAACTGCTACGATGTGCTTGTTGAAATGTAAGTACTGAATGGTGCGTTGAAAATGGTTTCTTCTTAGTGGAATGTCAGTTGCTTTGACTGCATGGAGACTGGTAGTCAACAGATGAGGATCTGTGCCAGAAGTATTGCATTGATAAACAACCAATCTTAACAAATATATTTCTAACTGGACCCTTTTCTATAGCTTCCTTGTCAGCTTCATGGTCGATGCCAGGGGTGGGGCCATGCGTGGTTGCCGTCACAATGGCCTTCGAATCATTGTGCCTCCAAGAAAGTGTTCTGCTCCCACGCGAGTGACATGCAGGCTGGTGAAGAGACACCGTCTGGCCTCTATGCCCCCAATGGTGGAGGGTGAGGGGCTGGCTGGTCGAATCATTGAAGTGGGGCCCACTGGAGCCCAGTTCTTGGGGTAAGTGTGTGTTTTAATGTATATTTGTTTGAATGTGAGTGTTAACTTGTTGTGTGTTAGAGTTTGTTTGAGTCTATTCGCTTGTGTGAGTGTGTTTACACTCTTGTGCGGTGTGTTCATATTTTCTTCTTCATTCCCCCTCTGTGCTGCCTATGGATCAGTAAGCTCCACCTTCCCACAGCTCCGCCCCCTCTAAATGAGGGTGAGAGCTTGGTCAGTCGCATCCTGCAGCTGGGTCCTCCAGGAACCAAGTTCCTCGGGTAGGACCATGGTTGGGGGACACCCTACCATCCTGGAAATGGTCACATACTTACCCATCTTTTTTCACCGTGTCCACCTTTTTGAGTTTTCCATGATATGATCATTTTAAATCCCATTTTTTTGTGTTTGCTGTTGCGTTATTCCAAATCCTTCTTCAGTGTATGGAACCAATCTCCAGGCTTGTTTCTAGCTGGATTATTCTCCTTTTCCTTCTCGTTGTGTTGACATGTTTTTTTAATGACTTTTTATTTCTGATAATGTTTGTTTTACCTGGCATGAAATGCACCTGATGTTTTTAAGCCCAACTTGATATCTTATTTTCTTTTTCTGTCTTTGTTACTTTTGTTGCATAAATTGACCTTAACATAATATTATCTCTGACAAAGCCAGCTTTGATAAACTGTTGCCACAAAGGTATATTAAAGTCCCATTTGTGTTTGACTTTCCCTTCACCCTTTAGGCCTGTGATCGTGGAGATCCCCCATTTTGCAGCTCTGCGGGGAACAGAGAGAGAGCTAGTGATCCTAAGGAGTGAGACAGGGGAGAGCTGGAGGGAACACCACTGTGACTTCACTGAAGAGGAACTGAACCAAATACTTAATGGCATGGATGAAAGTAAGGGATCTGAACTAGACTGTAATGTAAACCAAGGGTTGTTAATAGGGGTTGATATCTTATATCACAGCATTTTTGATGCAAGCAATACATTAAATCCTTAAAACACAGCATTTTAGGCCACACCATGATCACATTAAGCCATAACACAGACCACAGGAGCGTAGTGAAGTAGGACAGAGTCACCATTTTGATTACATTGCTGGGATAATAATGGAAAACAAAAAGTAGAGGGAGTAGTAAATGAAAGAGAAACTGAAATAAACGTACACTTGAGATGTTATTCTCCATACCTCACATACTTTAATTGACTGCTCATAGGTTATGTATACTTAATATGTCTAATCTTCACAGAACTTGATTCCCCTGAGGAGCTTGAGAAGAGAAGAATCTGCCGCATCATCACCCGCGACTTCCCACAGTATTTTGCGGTGGTGTCACGGATAAAGCAGGACAGTCATTTGATTGGACCAGAGGGCGGGGTCCTCAGTAGCACTCTTGTGCCACAAGTCCAGGCGGTCTTCCCTGAAGGAGCCCTCACCAAAAAGATCAGAGTTGGGCTACAGGTACGTAAAGTGCATTTATTGACCAGACACAGATATTTAAATCTAAGGAATCCAATATATTTACTTTTATAAATGTTGTACCTTCTCCTAGGCTCAACCCATTGATGTTGAGGTGGTGCGAAAGATTCTTGGTAACAAAGCCACATTCAGCTCAATTGTCACATTGGAGCCACGAAGGAGAAAGTTCCACAAACCAATCACAATGACAATCCCTATTCCCAAGAGCTCCAATAGTGATGGCCAAAGCGGAGTATACAGTGGGGAGGTCCCTACTTTACGTTTGCTTTGCAGCATTACAGGTATGTGTGGGGAATAATCCATCAGCAAACAATAACACATCACTGCGCATTTTGAGCTACCACCACTGTGGGTAGGGTCGTCAAAATACATACTCAAAATGTCCCCTCTGTGATGTAATGTCTTCCAATGCAATGGCACACAAGATCATGATTTGTTTCCTGAATGTGTGCTTGGACCAAGACATTTTTTCATAATTTTGTCTTTTCTACAAACCTTCTGTAAATCAAATGTCTTAACAGCGTTGACATGTTAGCCAATAAATATGTGTTTGTGTTTCAGGTGGGACCACTCCTGCGCAATGGGAAGACATCACTGGCTCCACGCCTCTCACCTTTGTTAACCAATGTGTGTCCTTCACCACAAATGTGTCAGCGAGGTAAATTCTTCCTACGTTTTTACATTTGGAAGTCAAGTGTCCTTTTGATCTGAGGTTTTTTGTAACCAACTTTATATTAAATGTTCTAGTCATCTTCACGAGATGATACAAACATACAGATACAAATTATTCAAATGTAAATACAGAAAAAGAAAATTAGAGTAGGTAGTCCCTTGTTGCTCTAGGAAGAGCCAGGCAAGTTGTATGTGTATTTCAAGTCTTGGAAGGACATTGAGTTTTTATTGTTGATTTTCTCAGAAAAATAATGTACTCCACAGGTTTGTCACTGTAGGGAAAACTTTGATCTGATGTGCTTTTTTTGTTTTTTGTAAGTTAATTGATTAAATGTGTACCTCATATTCCTAGGTTCTGGCTAATAGACTGCAGACAGATCCAGGAGTCTGTTAGCTTTGGCTCACAGCTGTACAGAGAGATCATCTGTGTTCCATACATGGCAAAGTTTGTCATTTTTGCTAAGACACTGGACCCTATCGAGGCCCGCCTGCGCTGTTTCTGCATGACAGACGACAAGATGGACAAGACCCTTGAGCAGCAAGAGAACTTCACTGAAGTTGCCCGTAGCCGAGATGTTGAGGTGCAGTATGATGATGTAGAAAACAGGAAAAAAGGGAAAAGTTTGCAAAATTGTTAATCTTAGTGAGATGTGATGAAAAATGAGAGAAGTAAAGCTGAAATAACCCAAGAAATCTGCATGTCAGAGGTATATTCTAATCTAAATGGTTTATTTTAATCAATGACACAGTTCTCATATCCAAACACAGGTGCTAGAGGGAAAACCCATATTTGCTGACTGCTTTGGAAACCTGGTGCCTCTTACCAAGAGTGGACAACACCATGTGTTCAGCTTCTATGCTTTCAAAGAAAACAGACTGGCCCTCTTCATCAAAGTATGACTACACACTGGATTAACATGTTTGAAATGTCTACTGATGTACACAGATATTCAGAAATACATATATATTTATATGAAAATGTATGTAATGTATGCTTGTATATAATTATTGACTACATTCTTGTTTAATCAATGGACAGATCAGAGACACAGCACAGGAGCCATGTGGTCGCTTGTCCTTCACCAAGGAACCGCGCACATATCGTACTCTTAACCACACTGCTATCTGCAACCTTAACATCACTCTCCCAACATACTCAAAGGTTGGTTTGAATACATCACAGTTGGAATTGAAATACAAATAGTAAGTTATTTGTAGTTACAGTAACTGCATTGTCTGTTTTATTATTCACTTTAGGAGTCTGATTCCGACCAAGATGCAGATGACGAGGTAAATAAAGTTTAATTGATACTGTACTACAACAAAAAATAATAATATGATGAAAAGGTTGCATCTAACTAGACTTTATTTTTACTTTTTTGCAGAGTGAAAGAAGTGATAAAAAATGTAAGTTGGACTCTGTCGTTTTGTGTTCGTGTTAGAGTTTTTTTTAAACGCCTTTAGAATTGGGTGGTGTTGTTAATTACACAAATATTTAAGATTAAGATGTATGCATTTGAGACATTTTACAGTCTATTTTTCAATGGCTGGTTTTCGTAGTGAAGGTACCAGTATATATTTTTGTAATCTATATACTGTGTATTTATTTTTCCAGTTACACACAATATTAATTGGAATCTTGTCACATGCTTAAGACAACATTACTGGTCATAATGGTTGTCAAGTGTTTGTTTAGAAATATGAACTTCTGTATGTGCTAAGAGATGCACTGATTGATAGATGTTAATTTCCATTTAAATTAACCCTGCTGTCCCATTTTGCTCTACTAACACTCTGATTGGTCAAATGTATGTTACTGGCGGCAATGCTATGGCTGATGTACTCTGCATTCCCCTCACTCCAACCCCCACTGACTTTTCCTATCCATTAACATTTATTCTTTGATTTTTTTATTAATCATAAGTTAAGGTCAAAATGATACTTTTTTTGCTCAAATCCAATCAATTTGCTTCAAAATGCTAATGTCAGAAGCTTTAATAGAACTAATTATGTTTTCTGGTAATATTCTAAAAGTATTATTTTGACTAAATATTTACCCAAGTAACGATTTTAAAGTGTGTGTGTTTTTTTTTGCCGGTTTATTTGTATTATTACCACAATTTCCCTATGATCTTGGCCATTTCTTTCTTTTTTTCATTCAATTTCACTACTTTCGTTTAGCAACTTGTTGTTTTCATTCATTTTTTGAGTATTACTTTAATCAAATTCAAAATAACATTTTTACATAATTGTTATACAACATCACTACTGCTTGTCTGTATGTGAACTTATATTATTATATGTTCATAAAACAAAGTAACTATAACTTACAAATTGTATCTTTAATGATATTTGATACCCTGGAAATATCAATAAATATGCCATAAAGTAAGTGATACATCACTTTACATTACTTACAAGAACACACACAGATACAGTAACAGAGACTAGATTTCTTTACATTAAATACTCACTTCAGACCTCCTCTTAAAATGCTATTATGATCAGTATTATAAGTTAATCATGTTTGTCTATATTTTAAAACTTTAATTTGTAGGCAGACATGACTCTTCATGTCAGTAACAATCTTGAGAAGTTTTGTTTGTCTGTTGTCCTTCCTTTGCTGTATTTTTGGATTTCCATGTGTTTCTTTTTGTATTCTTTGTGTTACTTCCTAAATATCGAACAAATTAAGTATATATTATTCTCTACCATTTTCTACCTGCCTTTTTTTTACTCCTCCTGGCTTTGCTTATGCTGTTGCTGCTCTTCTCTTCTTCAAAGTCATCTGGATACCTTTGTCATCTTCTTTTTTACCTATTTTTTTAGACTTCCGTTTCCTCTGCCCTGTCATTACTCTCTTTACTCTGTGAACTGAAGATGGATTTTTGATGGCATTGTCTTGATCACAATTTTCTGATGTCTCTCTTTCCCACTTCATTTGTCCCTTATGTTCTTTACCCTTTTTGGTCGTGAAACCTTTAAACTGAAGATGATGAGTCTGAATCAACTGAGACATTCTCCCTGAGAACTAACCAACCTCTTGACCCTGCAACCCTTGCAAGCCCAGACCTTCTCTCGGAAATATCGGACATCAAAATGTCTGCTAATTTGACTGCAGAGCAAGTGGAGCACTCAATATATGAGGAGAGAGCTGGAGCTAGAGGGTTGGAAGACAAAGAGCCTTTGTATATTTTGTCAGAAGAAAGGGAGGAAAAGGTTGGAGGGATTCAAAAAGGTGGCCTTAACGATAGTAGACATGAAGTTCAACGAGATAATGCTCAAAAAGAGAAAAGGGGTTCAATCTATGAGACTAAGACTGTTGAAATGAATGATCACCCTGTGGAGGAACCAGTCGTACAGGAGATGTGTATTGAGGGGAAGACAAGTAGGTCCGCCCCAGAAGTCAGAAACATGACTGGCCTGGTCTCAAGCCTCAGCATCGACATGGACCAATACATGGAACAGAGACCTGTAGTGACATTTAGTTCTCAAGAAGATCTTGTCCAAGATAGATTTGAACAGGTTATTAAAGACCGTGACGGCAAACGGCGTCCTCCAAATATCAAGAAACCTATTAGGAAGAAACTTAGAGACCGAGAGCGTTCTGGGTGCAGCAGCTCTGAGGGTGAGATGGAAAGGATGAGTTCTGAGGAGTCTTTAGATGGCGATGTTGTTCTTAAGGAAAGTGCCCTTGTACCCACCACAGTTATGGATCCTCCAGCTTCTCCTTTAGTGGTTGAGACATCTATAGGATCAATACAGGACAGAGTTAAAGCTTTACAGAACACATTTGAAGATGAGAAAGTGCAACAACATTCTCAGGAACCAATTCCTCGGGGGAAATCTTCTATTGACACAACAAAGAAAAAGGCAGACATGCCCGAACTTCCGAGAGTTCCCAATTCCCCTAAATCACCTAGATCTCAGACAGAGAGATTAGAGGAGACAATGTCTGTCAAGGAACTGATGAGCGCATTTCAGACTGGACAGGACCCTTCAAAAAGTAAAGCTGGCCTCTTTGAGCATAAAGCAGTGGCCTCTTCTTGTATTTCAACATTGATATCTGAATCAGGAGATTCTGATGAAATACAGAGGACAGAAGAAAAACCAATGGAGCAGCCAAAACCACAAACTCAAGTCCTCGCAACTTCCTATAAAGAGATAGATGATGAACCTGTAAGCCTATTAAGAGACAACTCTCATGAAAATGTCATTTCGAATAGTGCTTATTATGGAAAGACTGTACATGTTTCTGATCAAATTCAAGGTGACGATTCAAGCATTAGCCAACAGAGAGAGGCACAAGAGATGGCAAAGGAGGAGACAATGTCTGTGAAGGAACTGATGAGCGCATTTCAGACTGGACAGGACCCTTCAAAAAATAGAGCTGGCCTCTTTGAGCATAAAGCATTGGCCTCTTCTTGTATTTCAACATTGATATCTGAATCAGGAGATTCTGATGAAATACAGAGGACAGAAGAAAGACCAATGGAGCAGCCAAAACCACAAACTCAAATCCTCACAACTTCCTATAAAGAGAGAGATGATGAACCTGTAAGCCTATTAAGAGACAACTCTCGTGAAAATGTCATTTCGAATAGTGCTTATTATGGAAAGACTGTACATGTTTCTGATCAAAGTCAAGGTGACGATTCAAGCATTAGCCAACAGAGAGAGGCACAAGAGATGTCAAAGGAGGAGACCGTGTCTGTGAAGGAAGTGATGAAAACATTCCAGACTGGGAGTGATTCCTCAATAACTAAAGTAGGGCTACTTGAAAACAAAGTTGAGTCTTCTTGCATTTTAGCATCAATGTCTGAATCAGAAGATTCTGTAGGGATATGCACAACTGAACAAAGTGCTACACAATTCCAAACTAAGAGCCTCTCAGTGTTCCATCCCCAGAGTGAGGTCAAGAAGTGTGAAACAGGCCTGGAGGTTCAACCAGTTAGTTTAATCAGAGATAACTCTGATGAATCACAGTTGATTTCAGATTGCAGCTCGACTTTTAGAAAGACGGTAACATTTGCTGAAACAGTCAAATGTGATGAAGACGCTGGCCCACAGAAAGAGACATCTGAGTTGTCAGAGAAGGACACCATGTCTGTAAAAGAGCTGATGAAAACATTCCAGGCTGGGCATGATCCCTCAAAAACTAAGGAAGGGCTTTTTGAACACAAACCTGTTGCTTCTGCTTCTATTTCAACAATGATATCTGACTCAGGAGATTCTAAAGAGATTCAAGCAACTGAACACGGTGCTAAAGAAGGGACAACATCACAAACCCTAACTCAGAATCTCACAATTTTGCACCAACAGAGTGATGCCAACAGCTCTTGCTCAACAGAACCAGAGGATCAACCAGCAAGCTCAAGCAGAGATAACTCTGAAGAATCACAGACAATTTCAGATAGGGCCTATTTTGGAAAGACGGTAACATTTGCTGAAACAGTCAAATGTGATGAAGACGTTGGCCCACAGAAAGAGACATCTGAGTTGTTAGAGAAGGACACCGTGTCTGTAAAAGAGCTGCTGAAATCATTCCAGACTGGGCATGATCCTTCAAAAACTAAAGCTGGACTTTCTGAACACAAAGCTGACACTTCTTGCATTTCAACATTGATACCTGAATCAGAAGATTTTGAAGAAATACAATCGACTAAACAAAGTGCTATGCAGGAGTCCAAATCCCAAACCCACACAGCTGACAGCGTCAGAAATGCCCACGAGGAATTAGAGACCATTTCAGATAATTCTTATTTTGTAAAGACAGTCAAATGTACTGAAACACTTCCATGTGACGATGGTAGCATAAGTCCACAGACAGAGGCACCAGAGTTGTCAGGGGCAGTGACATCGTCTGTAAAGGACCTGATGAAAGCATTCCAGACTGGACAAGACCTTTCAAAAAGTGAAGCTGGGATAAGTGCACACAAATCCATTGCTTCTTCTTGTATTTCAACAACAATATCTGAATCAGAAAGGCCTGAAGACATACAGACAACTGCACACGGTCCCACACAGGAGCCAACATTGCAAGCAATAACCTTAAAGGGAGATAACTCTGAGGAGTTACAACTCGTTTCAGATATTGCTTATTTCGGAGAGACAGTGGAAATTGATGATACAGTTCAGTTTGATGATGGAAAGGTTAGGCCTAACAGAGGAGAGTCAGAGTTTTCAGGGAATGACTGGGGCAAGATGCATTTGGAAAAACCACACATAAGCACCAGTAGAAGTTTATCTGAAGACATGCATATCAGCCCTGATCGCAGACCTTCCGAGGATTTCAGTGCTTATATAAAAGCTGAGCTGGAAGAAAGCCCCGAGTACCAGCTTTTTAAGAGGACATCAACAGCTGAAGATGTAAGCAATCAGCGGGAGGTATCCGAGGATGAAACCAT